GATGGACTCAGCTGAAAACCCCAGCACACCACTAGATTCTGTCTACCTGGCTGTACCGGACTTTGTAAAATAACCCCCAAACGCTTCTGCTGTGGATGCCTGGACGTTTAGGATTGATTAAGATGTACTGCTTGTCTCAGATCCATACCCTTGGTCTACTGTGTTCAAAAAAGGAAACATTAAGATGAGGTGGTCCCTGAAAGCCAGATGAACAACCCCCAGAAATAATTTAACTACTCTGTGACCTGTATCAGCCTTCATTTCCTTGCCCCCTCTGCTCCAGGCAGAATTGGGAAGACAGTCACCTGGGGGGAGGGTTTTCAATGGTCACCAAGAGGGAGAGGAGAACTGAATGTGAACTGGTGGATATGGTACCCCTGGGGGTGGGGGCTATGACTCTAGAAGAGAGGAATAGTTTGGTGAATGACCAGATTACCAGAACTTTTAGGGAACCCTCAAAGGCTGGCCTGATACATTTTTCACTCGTGAAAGAAACAACCAGTGTATGGGGTAGGGACACCAACAGCTTCAAATCAGCCCCTCCCAAAGGGCCGGTGGCTGAGTTCGCTTGCTCAGTGGTGGAGAGCCCGCCTTTTTGCCCGTTTCCTAGCTGGTGGCCTGCTGAGCTCTGCCTCTGTCTGTCCAGTGTCCACCGCGGAGCCCGGCCAGGGCTCCCTTTTCTTGGGCGATGTACTTTCAACCAGTTTTGAGCAGCCCCATTTCAGATTGGCCTTTTTATGTTTGATATAAAGAATAGTTGTTGGCCAATTTCATCTTTTCATCGCTGTTCTCTAGGCCTGAATCCAAGCAGTTTGTCAGATGCTCATTAACTCCCCCTTTGGCTCTTTCTAGTGTGTCTCCTAAGCTCATTGTGCCAAGAACTAACGCTTTCTTTTACACGACTCTCTTTCTCTGCTCCATCAGGGAGACAAATTACTTTCCAAAAGGGATCGCCAGGGATGGTTTAATGAGAATTTCTTTGGGGCTAGGCATGGAACGCAATGTAGTTAACATTCGGTGGACTTAATTGGACTTTTCTTTTCTGCCTCTTTTAAAAAAAATCTGAAGCTATCCTGTTAATCTCTCATTTGTAATCAATTGTGTTGACTAAACAAAAGTCTAGGTCGTCTTTTCTTCCTGTCCCAGACAATCCTTTGTTGCCTCTAAATGCCTCATTCTTGAGTGATCCTGGTCTCGTAGATGGGCCCGATTGTTGACAGTTCATTATTGCGCTTTTGTCCATTTAATCTTTCTTGCTGTGTTTTGCATGTGCATGCCTTAATGAGCTCCGTTGGCAATTAACATGTTTCTAGGAGCAAACTGGTTGCTCAGACGGTTGAGAGGGAAGTGCAGGGAAAAGGGCAACGCAGCTGCCTTGAGGTTGTTTATTTCCCAGCATTTTCTCAAGACTCCTGTCCCCTCTTTGGCAGCCCCCCACTCCTCACTCTCACTCCTCCCCTTTCCCCCCCAGCCCATTCAGCACCGGCACACCTGGATGCCTTGTTGCCTGGTTCAGGCAGCCCTCCATCCTCTTGTGAGCCAAACAGCAAAATGGGGACCTTACAGACCCACTTCTGCAGCCAAGGCAAGGAGCACAGTGCTCCCCCAAATACGTCTGGATGCTGGCAACTTCTCTGTGTCGCCCTTTGCAGAGAGGAACCTCTAACCCGCCTAAGGCAACAGGACTGTACAATCTGTTATGTTCAAGGCTGTGGCTTTGGAACAAGGGGAGGGTTTTTTTTTTTTTTTTGAGTTTTGCTGGCAAGATCGCTGAAGTGTGAGCAGTCATGGACAGAACAAACATCTTGTAGGGGAAAAGATAATTGGAGTCTTTTTGTGTCTGTGACAGGATCCCCCCTCCCCCGCAATTTGATTTTTTCCCCCAAATATTTTTTAAGGGTGGCCTCTTCAATTTAATCAAGGCTAGAATATTAATATGCAGCTGATGACTACCTTGTTTAAGTCGTTTACGGACATTGCAAACTACAAGTCATGCAAACAGTTTAATATGAAGAGGGGGGAAATCTGAAACACTGAGCCCGTCACCCATCAATTCCGATGCACAGTGAATAACTAAGAAGGACTCCCGTTAAGATAGTGACTAAGAACGCTGAGTGTTGCCTTCAGAACCTGCACTGTCTGTGAAAGCTATTCAGTAATTCAGACAAGAGGTCCCCTTTCTCTTCGTAGGACTTTTCAGGTGAGGAATCCTTGATTGCACCCCACATCTGAAGGAAACGGGCATCTTAAGCTTGGGAGGGATGACTTTAAACCTGTGGGAAGCAGAGCGAAGCCCTATAGATACAGAATCATTCTGTTTACCCACAATTACCACCAGATGTGAAATAACACCTTCGCAGGTGAGAGCGATTGACAGGTTAAGTAACAATCAGGTTGGGAGGAAACCACCTCAAGGAGGTTGGAGTAAGCAAAGCTCCGCTCAGGTTAGCCCCAGAGCCCCGGCCACCGCAGAGAAGAGCAGTCGGAGAGAGAGAGAGGCCTTCTGCCCCACTCACTGCTTTTATCTCATCTGCTGTCTAGTTGGCAAGCAGGCCCCCTTCACCCCTCGTCAGAACTGTACCTGAAACACATCTCTCCAGGGTTATGAGCTGGGGACCCTTTCGGTGTTTCTCCTGTGAAAAGAAGAATTTCTGAAAGAAAGTTCTCTCACTTGATGGTTAGAAAGTTATTTCCCCGGATGGGGGCATCCCACCTATTTTTTCATTTATATTTTCTTCTTAAAGGAGCACTTGAACACGATTTCCACACGCAGGCCAACTTTTAAACCCAGTTCTCTAAGAGGGTGCCTTTGCAGCAGATTTTGTGCTGTTTACCTCTTGCCCAAAGTTCTGGAACTACTTAGAAAGAATGTGGGCTTGTCCTGGCCATTGGTCGTTCTCCAAGAAGCACATCTGCAAAGGATCCTTTCAGGAATGCAAGAAGGAAGGGATTTTGGTGGAGACCACTGTCAGGGGCACCCAAGATCTCCCCGAAATGGGGGCGGGCTGTGCGGAGAAGGCGGGGCTAATAAAACCTATTCTGAGAACCCGGGTAGGCACCGACTCCCCAAACCCGCCCTGGAGGTAGCTGTCTGGGAAAAGCAAGGCGGTATTTCCACTTCCTTGGCCGCCAAGCCGTCCTTGCCCATCCCGGGGTTTCCTGGGGGCTGTGGCATCTACCGAGATTTCGAAGTTAAATCTGCCTCTCCCTCTGGGTCCCAATCTCCCCTCAGCGAACTGCAGCCAGAACGAGCTAACATTTAAATTCCTCCTCGCTTCCTCCTCCCTCCCCCTCCCCTGGCTGCATCTTCCCAGACTTGGGGAGGTGGGGGAGGATAGAGAAAGGAGGACGCGCTCCTTTCAGGAAATGGAATTCTAATGTACACGTTCCTATTTCTGCATCGGAGGCACTAAAAATAGCCCCGCGACAGCCTGAGGAAGCTGTCGCCTTCCTCTGTGCAAACAAAACCGACACTTCTTCCCCGCGCAATGGGTCTGCGGGTTGCACCGGCGGCCGGGACCCCACCTTTGGCGGCGACCGGGGCGAAGCATCCACCTAGCAGCCAGGAGCGTCTTTCCTTGGGTCCCCACTTGACGATTTCTCCTCCAAGGACAAGGACTGGAGGCCGTTTAGATGCCCGTGTAGCCTGGATTCGAATCCCAGCCCCACCTCGTCCCCATAACCCTACCATGTCATTTAGCGGATCTCTGCCTCCACTAGTCAGTCCGTAACGTGGGCATGGTCCTCCCCATAGCGAGTGGCGAACACTCGGAAGAAGGGCCTGGCAGGAGCAGGCGCCCCGGAAATGCTGCAAGACGAGCACTGACCGCCTACTGTGTGCCGGGCTCGGGATGGCCAGACAACAAATCGCGCTCACAGTTCCTTGGGGATCTCCTCCCTCATCAATTCTCTTTCCCTCCAAAGAGCCTCCACCCGCCGCGGGAGCCGCGCAGCGTCGCCGCCCTCGCTCTTGCACGACAGGCTGGACGGTGGAAGCGCACGCCGGGCGGCGCCGCGCGTCCTCCCCGCGCCGGGACGTTGTCTAGGAGACGCGGGCGGAATCGCCCGCGAATATTAAGATGCTGGGGGGGGGGGGGGGGGGGGCGGGGCAGGAGGGTCGGCGCGCCCAGCCAGTAATCCGAGCTCGTTGATTATCCAGATTCGGATCAAACGGGGCGCGGCGGCCGGCCCCCTCCTGGGAATGATTAGATGATTAATGTAATGCTGTTTGAAGGGTCTCTGTTTTCTCTCTTAATTTGGGTCATTACTTAGGAAGCAAGCGTGAGATCATTTCAGCAGCGCGCTCGGCGGCGCAGAGGAGATCGCTAGCGACTCAGGAAATGGGCTGCTGCGCGGGGATCCGTGCGGGAGGCGGCGGCGGCTCAGGGGGTGCCCCCCGCGGCAGCGCCCCCGGCACGCGGAGCGCGGCCGGGACCAGCCGCGCGGCCCAGGGAGCCCCGGAGCTCGGGCTGGGCAGGGACCCTGGGCCTCAGGCCTCGCCTCCAGGGAGACTGGGCGGGACCGCTGCCCCAGTAGGTCGCCCAGAGAAGCGACCAGCCCAGAAGCGCCCCGACTGGGCTCGTGCCCGACTGTTTACCCCGCACGAGGAGGCGCTTTGCTCGAGGACGCACCCCAAATTTGCTCCCCAACATCCAGCCACTTTGAACCCCTCTTTTAAGAAAAAGTCATCCAAATAAAGCAACACCCAGAATTCTAAGCGTCGGAACGGTCACCAAATACAAACATTTCATCGCGTGGAGGCCTTTTCACCCAAGCTTTGGGTGGGGGGTTCGCGGGGGGGGGGGGTCTTAGTGCGCAAGCGCAGTAGGAACACCGGTTTGGCCTCACAGTGGTCCCAGCTCCCGGAGGAAGTCGCATTTGGGCAGGGAAATGCTAGAAACGCGTATTTCCTTCTCATTCTTCGGCGTTGCTGAGCTGGCCGCGCCGCGAGGGGACAGGGGGCGGGAAAGAAAACGCGCACAACGATCTGTTTATTGAGTCATATATGCATATATTCCGTGTTCGGATGTACAGGAGGATTTACATGGCTGTAGAAAGACGGCGGAGGGTGCCTTGCTCTTCCCCGGCGTTCAAGTCACAGGCTGGCATCACCCCCGCCGCCCGAGGAGCCGCCGAGGCCCGGCATTAAATACGTTTCGGCGCACAGGGTTTAAATAAGTTTCCCGAATATACAAAGGTGGGAGCCACGCTGCTTGCTGCCAGTCATCGAGGAAACGTGTAACTTTCCAAAAATATGCTGGTTTCGATAAATAGACTTTAGCCTCTCTGCTATAGTTTTGTTTTTCCCCTCTTAATTTTAGACATGAGTTTATAGGTGTGATCTGTCTGGGGGTTGGGTCGGGTCGAAGGGAGGGCGAGGCCGTAGCTCTCAGCTCTGCACGGTCCGCGTCAGGTCCTTGGTGGAGGGGGTGGCCGGGCCCGCGCTGTCGTGGAGTTTGCGCACGTGCTTCTTGAGGTCAAAGTTCCTGCAGAAGCCCTTGCCGCAGGTGGCGCAGGTGAAGGGCTTCTTGTCGTTGTGCGTGTGCATGTGGAAGGTCAGGTTGTAGACCTGGTGGAAGGCCTTGTTGCAGATGGTGCACTTGTACTGCTTCTCGCCGCTGTGGGTCAGCTTGTGGTTCTTGTAGTTCCCTGCAAAGACCGACAACAACCACGTTCGGGGATGGGGTGGCAAGGGGAGGGCGGAGCCGGGCCTCCCGGGGTGGGCTCGGGTGCCGCGCTCAGACGGCGACGCTGGGCTGAGCGGGCGCGACCTCTCCCAGTGAAGAAGTTGTCAAACTTCGTCAGCATCAAGCCCACGGCTCACAGGACTGGACGGCCCAGCCCCCGCCTCAGCCCCGCTCCCCCCACCCCCGGCCCCGGGGCCCGCCCTGCGTTCCCCCCGCTGGGCTGGGCCGGCCCGGAAACTTTCGCGCCCCCAGAGACACCTGGGGTCCAACTGTGGGTTGCTACTGCGCTCCAAGAAATTCTCTCGAACCCAGGCTTTGGCCCTCATCCCCCCCCCCTCATTAAAAAGATTTACCCCCTCTTGCCCCCCAGCTACCGCCTGGACAGCCGACATGCTTTGGCAGATCAAGAGGAGCGCCGAGGTTGGGGTTCTGGGAAGAGTAGCGGTTTCCCCGAGTCTTAAATCGTTCCCACGTGGTGGATTTTGCCTAGATTTTTTTTTTTTTTTTCATTAGAAAGGGGAGTTCCGGCTACAAAGGGAACCTTTTTCTGTAAGGCAACACACTCTCTCCCACCTTCTTCCCCTCTGCCCCTGCCTTCCTCACGCCCCGGCTCCCACATGCGGCGTCTCCGTGCCACCGACCAGGCTCCGGCGAGGTCTACTACCCGCCCGGAGCTCCCACCCCAACCCTGCGCAACCCGATTCCAAAGAAAGGCGGCGCGAGCCGGCGGCGCTCGCTCCCTCTCGCCGGATCTCTTTGCCTTTCCGCTAGCGCGACCCGCCGACACCCAGGTGAGAAGCATAGAGGGCTTCGCCCCGCACGGTACCTTTCTGGTGAAAGCCTTTGCCGCAGAATTCGCAGACGAAGGGCTTGTAGCCCGCGTGGATGCGGATGTGCGTGTTGAGCGTGGAGCTGCGGTTGAAAGCTTTGCCGCACTGGTTGCATTTATGAGGCTTTTCCTGCGGAGAGGGGCGCGCACACAGTGAGGTTGAATGCCGGGCAGGGAAAGACCACCTCGGGGGTACCTGGAAGGAGCCCCCTGGAGGGGCACGGGCTCTCCGAGAGGGGTACGGGGAACCCTTGGCCATCCTCTCCCCAAAGACGTCGCTCAGGCGCTGGGTGTTGCGCGCGGGCCAGGCTGGACCCGGGGCCACGTACCTGGGTGTGGATAATTTTGTGTCTGCACAGCGTGCTGGCCTGGCGGAAGCCTTTGCCGCAGACTTTGCACACGAACGGTCTGGCTCCGGTGTGGACCGGCATGTGGCGGGTGAGGTTATAGTGAGCGTTAAACACCTATGGAAGGACACGAGGGGGCCTTGTGGTGTGTCCATGGGACAGCCTCGCATCAGCCCAGGGAGGCCACAGCTCACCTGGCCCAAGCGACACCCCTCCCCCCAACCAGAGCCCCTTTCATTCTGCCAAGGGCTTCCCAACCCTCTGCTCTCGCCAGCTGTGTGTGGCCAGTGACCACGGCATCCCCATTTTACAGAACAGGAAACTGAGGCCCCCAGACTGAAGTAGACAGCTATTGGGGAGCTCCTAAACTTGAGAAAGGGGAGTGACAGGCATCCCCAAGAAAGCAGCCGCCGCTGCTCACACCTCCCAGACCCCACGGACCCCAGGCCTCACCTTGCCGCACACCTCGCAGGTGAAGTTTTTCGGCTTCCCGTCCGCGGAGGCACCGGGCAGCTTGCCGTGGCCCTTGACGCCTCCGCGCTCGGCGGTCAGGGCCGAGTTCTCCTTCAGCACCTGCTCCAGCGGCGCGGGCAGGCGCTCCTTATGGGCGTAGGGCGCCGGGTGGGGGAACTTGTCCGCGGCCAGGCCGGCCAACTTGGCGTTCTCCAGCAAAAAGAGCTTGGGGTGCGCCGCCAGGGCGGCGGGGGCCTGTGCTGCGTTGAGGAGGCCGGATGGGAAGAGGTGGCCGCCTAGAAGCTCAGATGGCGGGTAGGCGGCCGAGTCCAGGTAGTTGAAGTAGTAGAGCGAGCCGCTGGCCGGCAGCCCCACCGCGTGGTTGATGACCTGCGGCTTGATGACCCTGCCCGCGGGCAGCGCGGACGGCGCCAGGCCCAGCTCGGCCTTGCAGCACACGCCACAGTTGGTTTTGCACAAGCCGCTGGCGCCGCACACCGAAGCCCCCCCGCCGCCGCCACCCGCCCGGAGGCTGCCTTTCCAGAGCTCGGAGTAGCTGAGCAGCGTCTTGGACGGCATGTCGTAGCCCAGGGGCTGGAGGGGGATCATGCAGGGCAGCGGCGAGCAGAGGTTGAGCAGTTTCTTGCCCTGGCCGCTGTCTGCCTCCAGGGCCCCCGGCCGGGGCTCAAAGGGCGCACGGGGCTCCGACGTCTTAGCCATGATGCGCTCGATGGAGAAGGCCAGCGTCTTGGAAGTGGCCGGTGACGCTCCGGCTCGGGGACAGGCCGGGGGCACCATGGTCTCCAGGGAAGCCGAGCTGGCCATGGCGCTCCGAGCCGAGCCGTGCAGACTGGGCCGGGGCGCAGCCTCTTTCCTCTAAGTCTGCATTCCGGAAAGGGCAGGGAGGGAAACCGCCGTTTAATAAGCACCTAGCCGGGTCCAGGTCACCCATTTGCATTCAAATGAACAGGGGCAGAACAAAGTGCACCCAAGGGTACCAAATTACCGCCCGTCAATCCAGCGCGCCAAGGAACCCACCAGCCCTGCCCGGGACTTTCAAAGGGGGAGAGGGGAGGGTTTACAAAGGACTAGGAAAGAGAGAGAGAGAGAGAGAAAGGGAGAAAGAAAGAAAAGAGCCTCAAATGAAGCCCCCTGAGCTGGTCCCGAGACCCCGGCCTCCGGCACGCGTGCTGGGAGCTGGACAGTGAAGGGCAAAGTTACAGGGACCGGAGAGCCACCAGGCATTTACCTCTTTCCCCCACCGCCACGGAGATGCCTTCCGAGCCATGCAGCGCGTTTCCTCTGTCACATTTTGATGGCAAACATCTTCCCCTCCGCGTGAGATCACTGTCTTTTACATTCAGCTGACATCACATGAAGTCACTTCAAGTGGAATGACTCGGGCGGCGGCGCGGCTCCGCCAGCGGCCCCTGTGTCCCCCGCGCTTGCCGGCCGCCGCCGCCGCCACCGCCCCTCAAACTTTAAAAGGAGGCAACTGGCGCCCGCGCTCCCCTTGGGAAAGTGCGAGCGGTTCGCGAATCGGGAAGGAGGGGAGAGATGGGAGGGGGAGGGGGAGGAATCGTGATGGTTTTGCCGGTGGAAAAAAAAGGGGGGGGGAGCCCAAACCCAGGCAGAGTTCCGTGCGTGATTCACAACTTTGGGGGCCTATAGGTTTGGGGGACGCGGGGAGGACAGGGGGCCCTGGTCTCGCCGTCCCAGAGGGCCCCGGAGTGTCCATCTAGTTGCCGAAGTCTCCCTTCGCCCTCTGCAGCCGAGCTGGGCATCGCGCTAATAAACTGCCATTTACCCACGGAGCCGGCGCCAGCCCCGAACACGCGCAAATGATAATTACCTCATTAGGATGTGGCGCATGGACGCGAGCGCCGCGTTTGGAGGGCGAACTTGTTAATGGGGAAATATTAATTTATGCAAAAACAACGAGCTGGCCTCGGCTGGCGTCGGAGGTCGGGAGCGAGCTCCCACCGCCTAAGGACGACCCCGAAGCGTCGGGAAGGGCAAGGCCGCGCGCCCAGGTCGCCTGAACCAGGGCGACCGGCGGGGGCACCTCCCCCTCCCTGGCCAGCCCCCTGCCTTCGGCTGCGGGAGGCTGCGCGGCCAGCTGGCGGACTGTTTGAGATCCTAATCGATCAGCATCGCTGATTTGTGATCGGGTGTCGGCGGCAAAGCCCGGCTCTGCTGTTGGTTTAGGGCTGCGTGCGGGGAGAATCCGGAGGGCAGCTCTCCCCGCTGCTGGGTACTTGCTGTTTGTATAATTGAGAAGGTCCGATCTCCACCTGTTTAAGGAGCAGATTGAAACAGCAGAACCTCCCCTGGATCCTATTAAAACGCTTTTCCTCCCAAGGCCATTCAGTCGAACCAATTTTCCGAAGTGATTCATAGAGCTGCATTCTGCCAGGCAGCTCTTTCACTTTTAGCCACTAAAGCACCGCGTGGAACCGGGTTTTGTGTTTTTCTAAAATAAAGAGAAGGATTATCAGAGGGGAGAGGGAAGGGGCCTGGAGGGGGGCGGGAGAGACTTAGTGTGGCCAGAGGTACAAGCCGAGGGAAGAAAAGGCCCTTTTCTAGACAGGCCCCAACTAAGTTCGGAGGAATTCAGCGTTTTGTGCCTGGCGCACAAAAGCAGCGCGCTCCGAGCCGGTTTGGAGCGGCTGAATTCATCTGTTTGCAGACCATTCCACCTGCGTATCACAACAAACTGCTCAGAGACGCTCCGGCACTTTCAACAGGACGATGCTCCTGGCGACAACAAAAGTGGTGGAGGCTGAGGGCTCTTATGGGGCGGAGGCCGGCTAGCAGGAGAGTGAGGGAGAGAATGAGGTTTGGGAAAGGAGGAGGGGGGGGGAGTGGTGCGTGGTGTTGTTTTTTTTTTAACTTTTGGATGGTTTTGTTTTCGGGACAATTATATCTTGCCTGCCAGCTTTTGCAAGACCACCAGCTTTGTGGCCGCAACCAGAGTTTAAGAGGATTATGGTGGGTATAATATGAGCAAACAGGGTTGAGGGTTTGACAGTGAATTCCATCTCCAAAGACACAGGATTTTGTGGCGCCCAGGAAATGGTTGGTGGACACAAACCCTCTCCCTTTTCACCCAGGAAAGGCCTGGAGGAGCTGAGCATCCCACCCCAGGCCTCTCCTGCAAACCATCCCAGGAAAACCATGAGGGAAACGGGCAGGGAAAGGTTTAGCTTTAACTTCAGGCAAACCACTCCTTTTTTCCCTTCAGAACTTCTTTTCCTGCCCACTCCTCCTCTGGGTGTATTTTCAGACAGGATATCCACAGGGTAGGTAAGGAAAGGAAAAGTGTACTTGGAGAGCAAGGAGTAGGAACAAAGAAAGGTCTCCAAGGGACCGCTGCCCAGAGGGGGACTGCTGGGGTTCATGTCTCACCCTGCCAAGCTCAGAAAGTACCCCCAAATTCTGCGGTCCTGAGTCTGTTCCCCTCAACCCCTCCCCTTTCCAGATTTCAAAGCTAGAAAGGGGTTTATTCCTCTGGAGGGGAACATGTCCATACAGCCCATTTAATTTCGGTGCTCAGAGAGGCAGCATTCCAGACCCAATGTACCCCCACCCCTATGTTAATGTGAAAGCAATAACACAGATGAACGCCCCCTCACCACCACCCCCACTACCACTACCAAAACAAGAAACAAACCAGCAACTCACCCCGGCATTGAAACAGTATCACTACAGAGTCTCAGAACCTGCATTTCTATCCCGACTCTCCTGTGAATCCCATTCAGCCACCAGCCCCGTACCCCAAACCCCTTTCCAAATTGGGTGATTGTGGATCTCGGAAGCAGCTTGCGAGATCTGCTGGTCTGAAAGCTGGATGAGGCTGAGAGGCTTCCCATGAGCCTGCCTCGCCATCCCTCCGGCAGAAGCCATCTCCTGCCCGGCACCACAAAGGAGTGCTACCTCCACAGAAAGAAAACGCGTGGGTAAAAGCAAGTTGCTCCTAATGTGCCTGTCTTTCCAAAGGTTGGGTGAATGCACTGGCATTTAGGAAAGTATTTAATTAGCTCCCACAAACTTCTCCTTCCCTTGTCTGCAGATTACACTGAAGTGGAGGGTTGGAAACTATTTTACACCTTGCCACTCACATGTTAATTAATCTCTATCTAACCCTAATTGCAGTTTATTCAAGCACCGCTCAACAGCTCACCCACACAATACGCACTGGTCCTACTTTTATACATATTACTGCACGTTAACACATTGAGTAATTAACTCCAGTACCAACTAATAGTGCAAACAAATATTTTCTGTAAACGAGATGATTTCAGGCAGAAGAACAGAGGACTGGGGAGACGTGCGCTTGGAGGAGGGAGCGCTGAGATTTCACTTTGCTGCCCCCAACCTTCCAAACTCCTCCTCAGCTGCAGTATTCCCCGCCCCCCTTTAGGGCCAAAATGCTTTATTTATTTTTTTTAAAAAAGGGACAACCATAGGAATTAAAATTGCACAATTTTAGGGAGTTGATGGAGGGGTTCTGAGATAATATAACTTTTTTCTACCTACACATATTCAGTGAGGGAAAAAGTCCAAATAACTCGACATGAAGGGCCAGAGGAAGGTCCGGGGGTAAGATGTTTCAAGAATGTGGATCCATTCACGGAATAAAAAGCTTGCCAACCCCGCCGCCACCACCCCCTCTCTAAGTGATCCTGTCTTTGAAAGCGATGGTTTCCCCGTCAAAGTGAATCGAGATCGTGGTGGCAGACTGAAGTCTCAGGCTCTCTCCCAAACTGGTGTACAGCTTCACTTTGGGGGTTTGCTCCTGCAGGTCCACAGCGAGACCCGAGAGCCACTGGACCTGGAGGGCGCGGCCGCCCCGCAAAGCCCGCTAGGCCTCCGCGCACTGCGCCCGGGGACAGGGACGCGATTCCCAGGCAACGCCCCTGCCATTTCCGGAGCCCAGGCCCCTGGCCGGCAGCCTCGCCTCCCTGGACGGCGCGGGCCGGGACCCACCGCGCACGGCCTGCCAGGCCTGGACCCGCCGTGGGCTCCCCCTCCGCCCTGAGGACGCGTCCCCGGGCCCATCTCGTTCCTGGTGCAGCAGCCGAAAGACAGACGCTTCCCCTCAGCCCATCTGGCCCGCGCCCAGGCCTCAGCACCCGGCTGCGGTGGGGAGACGCTCGCTGGGAGGGCAGCCTGCGCTCTCCCCACGGCGCCCAGCCCCGCGCTTCTGTGGCTCCACTGGGCCGGACCCGACCGCGACCTCGGGGATCTGGGGCTGCGGGTCCCCGCACCCGGGCCCAACCCCTCGCAAGGGGGGAACCAGCCTCAGCCCCAAGGACTGGAGCTCAGTGTTTTAATTGAAATCGCAGTTTAGGCACAGCTGGCGGCTGTCTGTCCATTTTGCTGGGGCTTCTCTGGTGGGAAGCATATTCAGTATGACTGGCCGGCTAGCCTCCCCGCCTGCCCCCTCCCTCTAGCCCTTTTATGGTCAGTAACCCAAACGTTGGAATGCTGACTTTTGCTTTTTTTAAAAAAATTTTAATGCCAGAAATTGCCCTCCCGTTAGGACACATGACGGAGCAGACGCCTGGCGAAGGGGAAGCCGACCTCAGAGGAAAAGCCCTTTCTTGAGCCAAAGTCCACACATTCGCATCACTTCTGGGGTCCCCCAGGGGAAAGGCAAGCGTCTTTCCTCCAAAAAGGTGTCATTCCAGTCCTGGCGGCTTGTAGCTCTCAGTTCTAGACGATATTAATTAAAATACTATCATTATTTTCTCTTCTGATGTTTAGATTGCAACACAGAACGCACCGTCCCAGGCCACCGTCCCAGGCCACCCTCCCAGGGGTGAGCCGCGTGGGGGCGGCCAGCGGGCTTCAGGTTGCTGAGTAGACCTGATGTTATTTCCTCTTCCTTTCGCTTCTCTGTAACTTGTTTGGAAAACAAAACAGAAGCCCCCAAACTCAACAAACTTTATGGTTTAAGAAGTCTTCCTCCCTCCCACCACCCACCCTCCCTTCCTTCTTCCTCTCTAAAGGGACATTTAGGATCTGATTTACATGGTGCCGCGCTTAAACGCTGAAAATAGATTAACTCCTGAAGACGAATTCTTCGGCGATCTCCCCCCTCCCACCCCCAGGAAGCATTTTATTGAAAACATTCCAACCCGCTTGCCAGAGGCGGCTGGTCCCAGGCGCCAGGGGCCTCGGCCGGGGTGTGCGCGCTTTGCAGGATCAGCGCGTGCGGGAGACAAAGAGCCCCAGATACCCGGGCGAGGCGAGGCTGGGCGCCCGGAGAGCTCCCGGGCCCGGATCCCCGCGGGGAGCGCGCCAGCAGCCTCGGGCCTGGCCTCGGGGACAGGTGGGCCAGAGCCGTCCGCATCTGCCCGCATCCCGGGAGGCTGGGCGCCCACAGCCAGGGCGGCCCAGCGCCCGGCCCACTACACCCAGAGGCTGTTCTGCAAAGGGAACTGGTTTGTAAAATCAATGCACCGGCTTGGTTTCACCCTCACACAGGGGAGAC